AAAAAAAAAAAAAGAAAGAAAAGAAAAAGAAGAAAATAGCAAGAGATAAGGGACTAACCATGTAAAAAGGATCTGAAACAAGATTAACAGCCAATCTCTCATTAGAAACCATGAAGGCCAGAGGCAGTAGGATAATGGCACCTTTATAGTGTCAAAAGAAAAAAATAATCAAGAATTCTATATTTGGTAAAACTAGCTTTCCAAAATTAAGGATAAATTAAAACATTTCTAGATCACCAGAATCTGAGAGAATTTATCAGTACTAGACCTGTCCTACAAGAAATGCAAAAGAAGTCCTTCAAGTTGAAACAAAAGGACGCTAGACAGGAACTCCAATCCAAACACACAAATAATTCAAATGGCAAAAGTAACTACTCTAATTAAATACAAAAGCCAGTCTTATTATATTCTTGGCTTTTATGTTCTCTCTTTTTTCTATATGATTTAGAAGACAAATACATAAAACAATATTTATAAATCTATGGTAATGTGCACACAATTTATCAAGGTATAATCAATCTGTAACAATAACAAGACAAAGGATGGGGACAAAGCTGTATAGGAGCAGAGTTTTTATATACTATTAAGGCTCAGTTGGTATTAGTGAAAGCTAGATTGTTGTAAATTCAAGATGTTAATTGTAATTCCAAGTATAACCACTAGGTAAATAACACAGAGAAATGGAAAAGGAATTAAAATGGCACATTCGAAAAAAACACACAAAAGAAGGCATACACAGAAAAACTGAAAACAAGAAAGATGTAATACATATGGAAAACAAATAACAAAATAGCATAAGTCCTTTATCAGTTTTATCACTTACTTTAAATGTAAATAAACTCCCAACTAAAATACAGAAATTGGCAAAATAAATACAAATATATGATCCAGCTATATATTCTCTATAAGACACTCTATTTATATACAAAAACACAATAGGTTAAAAATGAAATGATAGAACATAGTAACTGAAAGAGTGCCAGGGTGACTATATTGAGACAAAAAGCCTTTAAGTCAAAACTTCTTACAAGAGAAAAACATTACATATTTATTAAAAAAAAAAAAAAGGTCAATCTACAAAGGAGACATAGTAACAGAAATAAATCATCCTGAAGTTTACATGGCATTTCAAGGATCTTGAAAATCCATGCATGTATGGTAAAACAATTTTCAACAAAGTTTTCAAGAATAGTCAATAGGGAAAGGACAAGTTTTCTAACAAATAGTGTTGAAAAAACTGGATAGCCACATGCAAAACAAAACTACCAAAAAAAAATGTAACTCTGGCTCACGCCTGTAATGCCAACACTTTGGGAGGCCTAGGCGGGTGGATCACGAGGTCAAGAGATCGAGACCATGCTGGCCAACATGGTGAAACCCCATCTGTACTAAAAGTACAAAAAATTAGCCAGGCATGGTGATGCATGCCTGCAGGAGAATTGCTTGAAACCGGAAAACGGAAGTTGCAGTGAACCAGGATCACGCCACTGCACTTCAGCCTGCTGATAGAGCGAGACTCTGTTTCAATTAAAAAAAAAAAAAGTAACTCGAATCAAAGACCTAATTCTAAGAGCTAAAGTTACAAAACTCATAGCAGAACACATAGGAGAAAGGGTTCTTAACATTATATTTGGCAATGATTTCTTGGATATAATACCAAAAAGCACACAACAGAAGTAAAAATAAATTAGACGACATCAAACTTAAAAACTGTGCCTCAAAGGACATGATTAAGTGAAGGAAAAGGCAACCAAAACAACAGGAGAAAATATTTGTAATTCATGTATTTGATAAGGAATTAATATCAAAAACATACGAAGAACCCCTACAACTCAAAGCAAACAAAATAACCTGATTCAAAGATGGACAAAGGACTTGAACAGACATTTCTCCATAAAAGGAGACAAATGGTCAACAAGCTTGTGAAAATATGCTCAACAGGCTTGGCACAGTGGCTCACACCTGTAATCCCAGCACTTTGGGAAGCCAAGATGGGTGGATCACGAGGTCAGGTGTTCAAGACCAACTTGACCAACATGGTGAAATCCCATCTCTACTAAAAATACAAAAATTAGCTGGGCTTGGTGGTGCATGCCTGTAATCCCAGCTACTCAGGAAGCTGAGGCAGGAGAATTGCCTGAACCTGGGAGGTGGAGGTTGCAGTGAGCCAAGATTGTGCCACTGCACTCCAGCCAGGGCAACAGAGTGACACTTCATTTCAAAAAAAGAAAAAATAAGCTCAACATCACTAATCATTAGGGAAATACAAATCAAAACTACTATGAAAAATTACCTTACACCCATTACAATGGCTATCACAACAAAAGAAAATAATGAGTGTTGGCAAGGATATGGAGAAATCAGAATTTTGTGCACTGAGGGTAGGACTGTAAAATGGTGCACCTTTTGTAGAAAACAGGTTTGTGTTTCCTCAAGAAATTAAAAATAGAATTACCATAGGTTCCAGCCATGCCACTTCTGAGTATATAACCAAAAGAACTGAAAGAAGAATCTCAAAGAAATATTTGTACACCCATGTTCACAGCAGCATAATTCACAACAGTCAAAAGGAGGAAGGAACCCAAATGTCCTCTGACAGATGAATGAATAAACAAAATGTGTACAATGAAATATCTTTCAACCTTAAAAAAGAGATAAATTTGACACATGCTACAACACTGAGGAAGCTTGAGGATATTATGTTAGATGAAATAAGCCAGCCATAATAGGACAAATACTGTATGATTTCACTTTTACGAAATACAGCAAAGGTAATGAAACTCATAGAAACAGAAAGTAAGATGGTGGTTGCTAAGGGTAAGGAGAAGGGAAAACTGGGGAGTTACTGTTTAATGGGTACAGAATTTCAGTTTCCCAAGATGAAAAAGTTCTGGAGATTAGATTTACAGTATTAATATACTTAACACTGCTTCTGAATTGTACATCCAAAAATAGTTAAGATGGTGAAAACAAACTAACAAAAAATAAAGATGCCTGCTTTGGCCACATATATTCAACATTGTAATACAAATTCCAGCCAGAGCAATTACGCTAAATAAATCAAAATTGGAAAGAAAGAAAACTATTTTTGTTTGCAGATGACATGATATTATATGCAGAAAATACTAAGCAATCCACAAAGGAACAACTAGAAGTAGAAACAAATTCAGCAAAATTACAGGATACAAGATCAACACTCAAAAATTAGTTGTGTACCAATTACAGTGAGCAGCCAAAAAAGCAAATAAACAGTTCCACTTACAGTAACATTTAAATAAAAATATTTAATAAATTTAAGGAAAGATATGCGACACTTGTGCACTGAAAACTACAAAACATTAATGAAGGAAAGAAGACCTAGGGAAAAAAAATCGCATGTTCATGGATTATAACATTTAATATTAAAATGATAACACTCCCCAATGTGTTATCACCCACTCCAACACTTAACCAGTGCAATACTTATCAAAAACTCAACATACTTGTTTTGCAGAAATAGAAAAGCTAACTAAAAATTCCTGTGGATTGCAAAGCACTCTGCTGGGGAAAACTGTCGGTTTCACAATAAATTAAATGTACAATTACCATATAACCCAGCAATTTCACTCCTAGTATATACCCAAAATAACTGAAAACATGTGTTCAAACAAATACTCGTACATGAATGTTCATAGGAGCACTGTTCACAATAGCCAAACACAGGATGACCCTCAGTGTCCATCAGCTGATGAATGTATAAACAAAAAGTGGTATATCCATACAGTAGTATATTGTTCAGCCATAAAACGGGACAAATTACTGATATACAACTACAACAGAAATAGGTCTTGAAAACCTTATTCTAAGTGAGAGATTAGAAACAAATTGTATGATTCCATTTATATGCCATATCCAAAATAGGCAAATCTATAAGACAGAAAACAGATTATTAGTTGCTAGGGGCTGGGAGTAGAAGGGAAAAAGGGAAAAACTGTATTAAGTTACAACACTGCTTATTAAGGGCACTGTGTTTCCTTTTGGTGTGATGAAAATATTCCAGAAATAAATGGTGATTATGGTTGTATAACACTGTGAATGTACTAAAGTCACTGAATTATATACTTTAAAATGGCTAAATAGTGAATTTCATGTGATATGTACTTTACCATAATTTTTTTTTTTTAGGTAGAATCCCTCGAAAGATACTGCAAATATTCTAGTTCTGCCCAGTCTGTAGGGCTGTCACAAAGCCTGCCACATCCTTACAACCCATGATCTTCCTACCCTACCAGGGCTGTTTCTTTAAACAACCATGAGTCCTAATGCTACACGATTCATTTGAATTTTTTATTCACATACTTTCTCTTGCTGTCTCTTAAGTTTTTCCCTGGACTGCAAGTGAATTATTCACTTTGTTGTACTACTTTTTAATGTAATGGCAAGATTATTGTCAGAAGCTTCACAATGTCACCTAATAAATCCCATTAACAAACTGTTTTATGTTCCAGTTTCACAACTCAGTGAGATCACAAGATCTGCATTCACCTACCTGGCATCTTTGTCCTACTCTTTATCAACTCTCTATCAGAAATCAGCAAACATTTTCTGTCAAGGGTTACACAGTAAATATTTAAGACTTGTGAGCCATTGCAGTCTCTGCTGCAGCCAGTCAACTCTGCACTTGTAGCGTGAAAGTACCCACAGACAGTACATAAATACATGAGTATGACCGAGTCCCAATAAACCTTTATAGACACTGAAGTCTGAATTTCACATAATTTCCAAGCAAAATAATACTCTTGCTTTTTTTCCCCTCAGCCACCTAAAAATATAAAAACTATCCTTCATTTGTGGACCATAAAAAAACAGCAGGCTGCATTTGACACATGAACTGTAATGTGACCTCTCCTCTGTATTTTCCCTGACATCATTTCTGCTTTCATATGAATATAGAGACATTTTTAAAATCTCAATAATTACTTTTAAGCAAAATTGTAAAAAAAATAATAATAATAACTTACCTGGGCTGTGATCATCTTCCCCTGGTGTTGGAAGAGCAGAGAAAACTGTGAGGGTGTAGCTGAGAAATAAGGAAAGATCATGAGAGATGTCACTTGCCTGAAAAGGTCCACTTCATAGCTGGCAAAACATCTCTGAAAAGGAGATACTCATATGTCATGCATGACTCTGGCATGGTTATGTACTGCTCGGACACATTAGTTTTCAAATGTAAAAATGTTTGTTTTTTACTGACTTAAAAACAATGGTATGCTGTACTCTAAGTATGCAAACCAACATATTAAACTAATTAAGCAAGTTAGGAAAAGCCAAAGAAGGAAACATAATGCTTTCATGAAAACTGATGCTAAACAAAAATACTCAGGTTTTAATGTTTATTATAAACCAAAGAATCCCAACAAGGTTCTGAAAAAAGGGATGTGGTATTTTTCAGCCCAGTTTTTTTTTTTAGAAGGAAAACGAACTCGCTCTAACTTGGTTTCAGGTTCTCAAAACCATCTTTGGATTTAAAAAGGCAAACTGATTTTTACTTTGTTGTCAATGCAGCAAACATCTGCCTGAGTCCTCAAGCGACTCAATGTCTGTTCTTGATTCTGCCACAACAAAATGTGTCAATGTCACCAGTCATTTAACATGTTAAGCTCATTTCCTGTCTGCTCCACCCCACTCCACCCACCCTATCTTTTAAATAAAGCTGAAATAGATAATTTTAAGACCTTTCTTGTGGCCTCACCTCTGATTCTGCAAGATCAAGAAGGAGGCATCCGTTTTTCTCTAGTTGTGCTGCAGTGCACCAGCAGCTCGGCATCATAACAGGATAAAGCGACGAATGCAGGCATGGGGGTGCTCTCCGCCACTTGGCTGCTAAGCTTGTCCCTACGCCTGATGCCTTCACAGCTCCCCAAGATGCGGCTCTGTCTGCTCCTTCCACCTTGCCCTCCTCTGCTGCCACATCTCTGAGTGGGCCCAAAGCGCGACCATCAACCAGCCTGTGGGAGTCTGGGCGGGACACAAATTGAGCCTCTGCTCCTCCTACTCTGCTTTAATGTCTAATGAGGCCTCAGCCCAACTGGCCGGGTGACCTAGGAGGGCCCCTGAGCTCTCGATCCCCACCCTTCCCTTCTTACCTCACAACAGCTGCTTTGCTACTTCAGTTCGAATCCTCATCCAAGACTGAAAAGTCCTACATCTTCCTGTCATTTGAGCCACGAGCTGGGCCGTCTGGAAATGCCCACTGGTACTACTGGGGACACAGGCGAGGCTGGACAGTGCTGGAAGGCCAGGGGCACCTCCCTCCACGTGCGCAACCTCACGGGTCAGTGGAAACAAATTCCCCAATCCACAGCCATGGTGACTTCAAAATACTTACTGGAGGTGTCAGGCCATGAAGCTGCAACCTGTGAGGACACAGCAGGCCGGGTGACGCTGGGCAGAGGCTCGGTGTGGAGTCGCTTGCAGCCACCTGGCTGGGCTCAGCATTGCAGTGACAACGCAGCGACGCTGACCACAGGTGATTGGGAGGCAACAGCGAGATTCTGAGGGGAAAGAATAAGGAATAAGGGCAGAAGATCCGTTCCCGCGCTGTCCTGCTGGGCATTCTTCACCCCAGGAGGGAAGAAAACCCAACCTCACTCGTCACAGGCGCGGGACCAGTGCGACTCAGGCAGTATTCAAACCCAGGCCAGGAGGCAAAGCCGCTCCCCATCTCCCGCTGCCAGACCGCGCGGAACCCCCAGTCCACCCTTACCCCAGCCCTCCCCTACTCACCCACCGCGTTCTCTGCCCTGTCGCCGGGAGATAGCCCTCCCTACCAGGCTGATGAAATGAAAAACAAACCTGGAGCCACACGGCGCAGAAGGCCCGGAGCGGCTCCCGCGATTGGGGCCAGAAAACGCACACTACATTTCCCATAAGTCCTCGCGTTGCTCCCTCAGAAGGTGCACACTACATTTCCCACAAGTCCTCGGGTGGCTCCTTTAGAAATGACCTGAGGTTTCAGTTGCATTGGGTAGAGTTCGTTCCCAGATGCAGCAAGTGCAGTGCTGCAGTTTTATTTGTTATCTGAAATTATGAGTATTTAAATTACATAGTTTTCTCATGAATTACATCTCCCTAATGATTTGGCTGTCCTCAACACTTCCTCGTTTGGCAGAATTCACGATAGGAATTTCTTTAAATGCTGTTGGTTCCTGTGGCGCGGCAGCGATGCAACAGCACCACCTCCACTTGCTTCGTTCTGGTCCACTGGAGGCTCACAGTGAGAAAACACGCTGGATGTGAGCATTAACAGCCTGTACACTATCATAAAGATAACTCAGAATTGCTCTTCAAATTTTGTTAAACCATGTACTACCATCTTTCATGGCAAACCTGCATTTTCCATTCTTCAGGAGTACATGTTGAATCTTTTGATCACAGTAACTTTTTTTGAAACAGAGTCTTGCTCTGTAGCCCAGGCTGGAATGCACTGGCGCGATCTTGGCTCACTGCAACCTTCGCCTCCTGGGTTCAAGCGATTATCCTGCCTCAGCCTCCCTAGTAGCTGGGACTACAGACGCAGCACCACGCCCGACTATTTTTTTGTATTTTTTAGTAGAGAGGGGATTTCACTGTGTTAGCCAGGATGGTCTCCATCTGCTAACCTCGTGATCCGCCTGCCTCAGCCTCCCAAAGTACTGGGATTACAGGCGTGAGCCACCGCGCCCTATCGATCACAATAACTTCTTAAATGTCCACTGACCAAGGTAACACAGAAGTGGAAAACCAGAAACCGCAGGTTCTCATTCATAAGTGGGAGCTAAGCTATGAGTACGCAGAGGCATACAGAGTGATATAATGGACTTAAGAGACTCAAGTGGGAGAGTGGGAAGGGGGCCGGAGGTTTAAAAAACTACACATGGCCAAGCGCGGTGGCTCACGCCTGTAATCTCAGCACTTTGGGAGGCTGAGGTGGGTGAATCACTTACAGGGATTCGAGAGCAGCCTGACCAACACAATGAAACCCCGTCTCTACTAAAGATACAAAATTACCAGCACTTTGGGAGGCCGAGGCGGGTGGATCACGGGGTCAAGAGATCGAGACCATCCTGGTCAACAACGGGAAACCCCGTCTCTACTAAAAATACAAAAATTAGCTGGGCATGGTGGTGCGCGCCTGTAGTCCCAGCTACTCGGGAGGCTGAGGCAGGAGAATTGCTTGAACCCAGGAGGCAGTGGTTATGGTGAGCCGAGATCGCGCCATTGCACTCCAGTCTGGGTAACAACAGCGAAACTCCATCTCAAAAGAAAAAAGAAAAAAATACAAAATTAGCTGGTTGTGGTGGCACATACTTGCAGTCCCAGCTATTTGGGAGGCTGAGGCAGGGGAATCACTTAAACCCAGGAGGTGGAGCTTGCAGTGAGCTGAGATTGTTCCATTGCACTCCAGCCTCGGCAAAAACGGCAAAACTCTGTGGGCTGGGGGAGGGGAGGCCGGGAACTACACATTAGGTACAGTGTGTACATTACTCCGGTGATAGATGCACTAAAATCTCAGGATTTACCACTTTATAATTCATCCATAACCAAAAACCACTTATGCTCCAAAAGCTATTGAAGTTTAAAATAAAAATAAAAAATTAATGTCCACTGACCAAGAAAAAACATTTCTGTTCATTTTTATTCCCTTCTTTACAACCACTGATGATGATCCCACTTGTTCCCATGCTGGAAAAGCATTTAGTAACATCCATGTAAAAGAATCAAATTATTCAAGGTATGAGATGTATTTCAGAAGACAGCCATGGCAAGTACAATAATGATTATCACTTCAAGTCACAGTTTATTTTCCTGTTCATAAATAATGTTTTCCTCGTTTTTTGTGTTTTGTTTGTTTTTTGTTTTTTTTTTTGAGACGGAATTTCGCTCTGTCACCCAGGCTGGAGTGCAGTGGCGTGATCTTGGCTCACTGCAACAAGTGATTCTCCTGCCTCAGTGTCCTGAGTAGCTGGGACTACAGGAACCCACCACCACACCCGGCTAATTTTTGTAGTTAGTAGAGACGGGGTTTCACCATGTTGGCCAGGCTGGTCTCGAATTCCTGACCTCATGATCCACCCACCTCAGCCTCCCAAAGTGCTGGGATTACAGGCATGAGCCACCGCTCCTGGCCTAATGTCTTCCATTTTAAGAACAGTCTTGACACTTGTGAATATTTTATTATTTCTTTAATGCATTCAGGTTCCATTATGCAGTGGATTATTTCAGTAACATTGTTTGCTCTTCTTTCAATTTGCATAATCCTATCCCTAAAGCGGTTGCAAACATGCCACTTCCAGGCTCCTTGGGACTGAACACATCCTTCTGGGATTGTCTCAGAGGGAACAGCTGTGCCGGCACCATGGAGGTGGTGCTGATCTTTCTATGCAGCCTGCTGGCCCTCATTGTCCTGGCCAGTGCAGCTGAGAAGGAGAAGGAAATTGATTCTTTTTATTATGACTACCAGACCCTGAGGATTGGGGACTGGTATGTGCTGTGGTCCTATTCTGTTTGGACCCTCCTTATCCTAGGTTGCAGGTGCAAGTGCAGTTTCAATCAGAAGCCCAGGACCTCAGGAGAGGAGGAAGCCCTGGCAGAGAACCTCATCACTGCAAATGCAACAGAGCTCTAGAAAGTAGAGAACTAAATGAAGTGCAGCCCTCCAGCTGCTTGAGATTCTAGATGCAAATATTGATGCTTAAGAAAACAGCTACTTCAGCAACAAATCTTTCCCCAAGAGAAGCTAAGAACTTCTGTGTCCACTCCTCCATGCCCTTCCCTGTCTATTCTAACACCATTCCTCAACCTAATGATGCAACTAATTTCTTGCCTCACCACTGCAGCCTGCAGGTTCCTCCAACTCCTGTGATGCATCTCTCTGTGTGTTTGCTGACTGTAGTGTTCATGGCTACTTGTTTGTGGTTATAACTGTTAGTGAACTATGGACTCGCTTTCCTGAGCAGGGACTGAGCCATATGGCCATCTGCTCCTCCCTGCCCCACTCACCTCTCACTCCTGGGAGTCTGCTTTTTCTCCAGAGAGACTAGCTCCTTCCCTTTAGAGCATGGACAGGAGTCTTCAATTGCCTTGAGACTGGAAAGCTTGGCACCACTTTCATCATCTTTCTTCACTCCTTTTACAAGAACCTCACTTCCTTATCCCACCCCAAGCCCAGTCTGTTCTGAAGAGCAGCAATTGGAGATATAAAGCAAAGCAAGCAGTGTGTGAGCACAGCATTGCCTTCACCAGGCTACTACAGCCGTCCATGGTTATTTTCCTCCCTGGGAAAGCCCCAGAGAGTCCTCATCTGCCGTGACCCTTCACAGAGCACCCAGGGATTCCAGGCCCAGGGCTGCTGCTTTTTTTTTTTTCCCCCAGTCCCACTCTGTCACCCAAGCTGGAATGCAGTGGCACCATCTCAGTTCACTGACCTGGGTTCAAGGGATTCTTGTGCCTGGTTCTCCTGAGTAGCTGGGACTACAGGCACACAGCACCACACCCAGCTGATTTTTGTATTTTTAGTAGAGATGAGGTTTTGCGATGTTTACCAGGCTGGCCTCAAACGCCTAACTTCAATAATCCATCTGCCTCGGACTCCCAAAATGCTGGGATTACAGATGTGAGCTACTGTGCCCAGCCTAGACCCAGGGCTTCTAATCTGCTCCTGGGGAATGTAGCCCTTGCATATCTTCTCAGCAATTACCCCAGAGGCTCTGGTACCCTACCACTCTCCAGCCTTCCTGCTTCTGGGATTTCAATTTACAGCCCAGGTTTTCTGGACACAGGCTCCCATCCCTGAAGTTGAGTCTGCAGCAGGCGATGACTGAAGGATTCCCATTCTGTTGTGGCCAGCACACTGGAATGGGCAGAGGGAGAGTAAGGGGCCTTTGCTTCTCTGCTCATGTCCCCGTGGTCAGTAGAGACAACACCTTCATCCTTTGCACTGCCTGTCAGTGGTCAGAGAGGTGAGTGAGGTAGGCTAGAGACCCAGTAGGCTCCATGCAGCACTGCTGCAGAGGGTACAGGAAGAGGTCAAAGGTCATGATGAGAGTGGAAGCTCAAACAAGATCCTGCCCTTCCTGTCCTCCACATGCCCGTGGAAATCAACCAAACTGAGCCTTGTGGCCAGACTGTTGTTCTCCGTCTCACATGAGGCATTTCGATCATTGATCATCTCTGTGATCATAGTGAAGCTATTACTTTTGTTGTTGTTGAGTAGATTTCATCCTGGCTCTTGAAAATTTGATTGCATCTTTGGAATCAGAAAATACTTCTAGCCGTAATACTTTCAAACTGTCATTTGAGCTGAAAGACTGCTGCTGTTATAAAGTGTTTACAACTTCTACTGCAATTACTATATCTCAATCTGAATTTATTTTATTTTATTTTATTTTTTGAGACAAGAGTCTTGCTTTGTCACCCAGGCTGGAGTATAGTAGCACAATCTCGGCTCACTGCAACTTCCACCTCCCAGGATCAAGTGATTTTCCTGCCTCAGCCTCCTGAGTAGCTGGGATAATAGGCACTTGCCACCACGTCTAGCTAATTTTTTTGTATTTTTAGTAGAGATAGAATTTCACCATGTTGCCCAGGCTGGTCTCAAACTCCTGAGCTCAAGCAGTCTGCCCACCTTAGCCTCCCAGATTGCTAGGATTACAAGCGTGAGGCACTATGCCCAGCCTTAAAATAAAAAAATCTGTTATATCACTCTGTAGTATGAATTGAGGAAATCATACATCTATGTTTTGCTGTAATTATGTGCTGATGCCTTTCTCCATTTTTACATACTGCACAAAAAGTTTCAAAAGGAATCTTTCCTCATTTAATAAATCTCCACTTTTCAAACAATTCATCACAAAGTTTATGCTTGCATTTTGGTATCTGACATTCAAATACACACAAATAAAAATAGATAATAGCAACTACCAAAAAATTGAACTGAGTGTATTTGATAATCTCGTGGCTGCCTTTGTGTGTCTGTCACTCACAAGTCTGAACTCAGAACTAACCTCAAACGGGTTGAACCAATGAAAGCATTACAAACTTGCAAACTAATAATTATTTGAAGTAGAGTTGCCATTGAAGTGGCCTGAGATGGCTATCCTATCCTTGGCTGGTATCTGGGAATGTGAATTTTGGGAAGGTTTGGGAACCTGGATTTCAGAATGGTTCCCTCCACCCTCACTGACCAAGTAGCTAACTGTACGGTTTTTGAGGAACACTGCTCTTTTTTCTGGGAATCTGGAATTTTGGTGTATGCACAGTAGACAGTGTCTACATGACCAGTCCCCAATAAAAAGCCTGGACACTGAGTCTCTAAGGAGCTTCTGTGACAGCATTTCACATCTGTTGTCACAGCATGTTGCTGCAGGAATTCAGCACATCTTATGTGACTCCACTAGGAGATGTTTAGAAGCTGGTGCCTGGTTTCCTCTGGACGTGACCCTATGACCTCTCCCCTTTGCTGATCTTGCTGTAATAAATTATAGTCATGGTGTGACTATATGCCAAGTCCTGTCAGTCCTCCTAGCAATTTACTTCTCACTCTGTCACCCAGGCTGGAGTGCAGTGGCATAATAATAGCTCACTGCAGGCTCAAACTTCTGGGCACAAGTGATCCTCCTGCCTCAGCTAGGACTACAGGTATGTATTCTCCTGAATAGCTGGGACTACAGGCACATGCCACCATCCTGGGCTCTTTTTTTTTTTTTTCTGTAAAGATGGTGGGGGGGGTCTCACTATGTTGCCCAGGCTTATCTTGAGCTCCTGGCCTCAAGTGATCCTGCCTCCACCTCTCAAAGTGCTGAGATTACAGGTATGAGTCAGTGCATCTCGCCCAGAAGTGGAATTTGCTAGAACCATGTCTCATGAAGATTTAGCTCTATCACTGTTTGGGAAAAGGAAGAATGAAGGGAAATAGTGATGAGCCTTTGATACCTGGGTGTCTATGGAGCCCTCCAGGGTTTGAGAGCAGCAGCTGAACTGCTATCTGCTGTTAGAAGTGACAGTGACCTATGGGATTAGAAATGGATCCAACCCTGGCTTCTTTGAGCTATGCTGGATGAAGTGAAGGGGAAAATATACAGCTGTGTGATCTCTTCAGGTGGAAAGAAGAAAACAACCGTGAAAAATTATAAAGGTGAATGTTGGGTGCCCCCAAAACGTTAAAAGTTCTCAGGGCTAGAGGAAAGCTGGGCTAGGAGAGTGAGGAGGGTGCAAAGACTCCATCCAGCCTCCTCTTCAGCCCAGCTGCTGCCGCGTTGCAAGAGCTGCCTCCTTCTTTGCCTCCCCCTTTACCCACCCCTTCTGCTTTCCAATCTGGATCTGTCCCACAGCATTAATGCTAAGCTAACTGCAAATGCTGGATTTACTGCTATGGGTGTAGTTTTCTATAGGAAAAAAAAATGTTTAATGGCTTTGTGTTTTGTGGCTATTACAGCTAGATGTATTAATATAAAATTGGTACAAAATGTTAAATGCTTTCAATTTCATAAATTCTAGAGGGAACACACTGATCAGGAAAAACTGCAGAGGAAAATGAGTGGGACAACTTCTTCGCTTTTTAGAGCTAGTGGGCAGCTTGAAATTTAAATTCTCAATACTGGAAACAGAACATGCCTCCAAAATTAACAATTTTTGTTATGGGTTTTGCCTATTGGAGCCACTGGGAATACAATGTGAAGAGAGGCAGTCTTGAGCTAGAGATATGCTTTGGAATTTACAAAGCAAAATCAGAGAGCTGACCCTTAGAGGCTGGTGATTTTCTGGCCTGATGTGTGTAGTTTTGAGTTGGTCAGCTTGGACTCTAAGGTGAATAAGGTAAAAAGAGCTCAGCAAAGCCTTACTTGTCACTCCTCTAGGAACACAGCTGTCTGGCCCTGCGGTATCTCAGTCTCCACGTACTGGAAGAACATACGTTAGATGTTGGGGAAACTATAAGGCTACAGGGTGATCCTGCATGTTGGCAGGGAGGATTGTTCAAGGTAGAAACTGTGGGGAAGAGAGAGAGATTTCCATCTGCGTAGCTGCTGCTATGTGCTAACTTGGGGGTAAGAAAAAATGTTAAGGAATAAAAAAGTCAAGATCTCTGTCCTCACAGGGCTTCCAGGCTAGAAAGGAAAGTGGCCACCATATAAATTGTGCACAACTCCATTAGTAGTTAAGAGGTCTGTTTTATTGCTTTGAAACTCAAGTGCAGGATATTTAAGGTTTATCTGCAGCCTTTCCTTTTCTGGAAATTGTAAACTAAAAATAAAATCTTAAGCCCCCACCAACTGCAGGACACTCCCCTTAGCCAAGGGGACCCCAGAAAAACTTTACAACTGAGTTCCTGGCCATGACGAGATGGGAAGTCACACATGTCTCATTATAACTTCTCATGTTTATGGTTTAGACACAACAAATGACCAGCATTAATGTTAATATAGAGATCATAAGACTGGCAGAGCAGACTTTTTGTGGGAATGAGATAGCAAATTATAAACAAGACCTAAGGCCATGCCAGGTCAGTGTTAAGTCAAGCACCCTAAACTTAAAAAGTAAACTATGGTCTTACTGCCTCAAGCTTTTTCTCTTTTCTCTAGCAGCTAAATAAGCACTGGCTTTGAGATAAGCAAAATGAAAACACTTGTAGCTCATCGCGGAACCCTAATCACCAATTCCTGTCCCAAGCACTGAACTACAGCTTTGATTGGACAAGAGACTGAATTCAGTAACTCTCTCCTGATAAGAA